TCAAATTTTTTTTATTTTAAATATGAATATATGAAAAAATTTATAGGTATCATATGGTTTGATGTTCGAAATCTCTTTAATTAACTCAAATTTTTTTAATTTTTTAAGCTTGAACATAAAGAAAAATATATAAAATAATTTCAAAACTAAATAATTTACATAAAATTCTATATACACTTAATTTCTATATAAATGCAACACATACATTTCAAAACAAATTTAATAAATACAGCTATTGCACTCAGTTACAACCTATTACGTTTTCTTTTCAACTTTTAACACTATTGAACTAAACAGTATAATGAGTTACTAATGATTGCAACCCATAATATTATAATGTAATCACAATTCCATTGCAGCATCATTCCATTCCTGGTAGCAAGTTAATTCATTCCAACTGTATTTGATTCCGCGAACCAAACATGATATTAGATTCTTTTGAGATAATCCAAATAAATCATCTCAAAAGTGCACACAATTGGACACCATAGAAATTAACTCTAGACCTAGAATGGTGCACAATTAAACACGCAAGAGCCTAGGATCCAGTTTCCCGAATCAAACAGAGAAGTAGCAGCAACTGATCCAAAAGCATAGCGGCAGGAACTGATTGACCAGTGGCCAAAGCAATCGCTGCTTTAATGCAAATAAGAGAAATTACCTTACTTGTAGGAGCAGTTGAAGTAGTTGAACCCTCACCAGTTGAGCTCTTAGTCTGGAATTTTCAACACATAAACTAAGTTATTAGCACCTTTACTTCTTGGAACTAGACCAAAAATTTCAAGAAAAAATTTGGCTAAAATCTTGAAAGAACAACATTTTAGAAAGCAATGAATCAAAATACTCATTTCATATCATCAAATCAATTTTTTAAGCAAAATTTGACATAATGCATTCAGATTAATATTTTCTAGCTAAAGGAAACTAAACATTTATGAACAAAAGTGAAACCATTTCAAGTAAAAAAAGAATTATTATTTTTTAAATAAAACTAAAAAAAAAAAGAGTTATGGCTACAGAAAATAGAAGAAACAATTTTCTAGAACTTTAAAAATATAGCTAAAACTGACCTTGGTTAACATGACTACAATGAAACTATTTTCCGCCACCTTATTCTCATCCAGGGTTGTGTTATCTTTGAGGACCTTGCCCTGATGAATAAGCATCTGCTGTGCAGCAGGATAAACATCCGCTCCTTGTGC